GTCTTGACCAGTCCGTGGTAATAAAAAGGTTGGGGACCACTGCTTTACAGGACCTTTTCAAGATGCATCTCGTTCAAAAATATAATCTGAGCGACATGCACTTGTTCAGAATCTAATTTTACAATTGCATTTCATGCTAACAAAATCTAACAAATTTCACGTTGTTTATTAAAAATTGTGATTGCTTCTCACCCTTACAGACCTTAATCATCACTTTTGGGTTTTTGGCACAAAAACACAGGACATCACTGAAAAAAACAAACACTACTAAGGTAGTCAACCTATTATTTTTTGTCAGTTTCAATTTCTTTAAAAGAAACATAAGTCTTTTACAACTTTGTAAATGTTGTAAAAGAAATGTAAACATTGTAAGTCCGATATGCATTGGATATCGTAGGCTGCAGATATCCTTTGATATCTGCATTGGTTTTGGAAGTGAAAAAAGTAGGTCAGTGCATCCAACTAACCCAGATGAGGACTAGTAGTCTGAAAGCATAAGATGTGGAGCGATACAATTTTGGCAATCAAAGTGAGTCCAGGCAGGCATCCAAATCAACAAAAGAATGAATTTATGAGAGAAACATTAAATATCAGAAGGTAAATATCTGTCAGGAAACCTGAGGACTCACCTGTGTGGAGGCTGTGGATGAGAAACATGCTCACAATCTGACTGTTGGAGGGCAAAGTGGGCAGACGTTGTCAAGTGAAGGTAAGGGATGACTGAAAGGTGAAACTGAACCAAAACATCTATAAATACCCCCCTAAACTCCTACAAGTTATAAAAACGATTTTGTACATAATCCAAGTTATGTCAGCAAATTATCCAACATTTAGGATGTCTAATTTTCTCCAGTCTTTTATGTTTCTACGCTGAGCTGCTGCTTTCATCGTCTCTCTCTACGTTTTTGTTTTTGTTGTAAAGTAATGAATAAACATGGAGAGGCTTTATTATTGCATATTGCTTCGGTTTAGCCGAAGGTCACATACGGGGTTTGACTGTTTTAGAAGCCCGAAGGAAAAAGAGGAGAAGTTTGCATCTTCCCTAACTCTCTCCAGCTGTTCTGGCTGGAACAGCTGCCCGCACAGAGCGCTTCCAAATGGGTCATACTCACTGAGAACCATCACTGCTCTTCCGTCCCAGCCTCACAAACCGTCTCTTTGCGGGGGCTTTGGAGAAACTCGGTGGTCTTGGAGGGAGAGAGTGCAACTCCTCAGCAGAATTTCTCATCTCATTCATTCCCGTCAGGAAGTTTCTTTTCGTTTTCTCTTTTTTTTTCGTCTCTTTTCTTTTTTTTTTTTTCTGAGTGATTCCTCCTCAGCTGAAAACCCCTGCAGATGTGGCTCTGTTATCGCTTCTGCGATGCGGGACGCCGCGCTTCATTCCGGGGATGTTCCCTCCAGGAGAGCCGCGGCGCAGAGCCATCCAGCTGCTGCTGCTGCTCCGGAACAGGCGCCGCTGCTGCAGATGTTTGCCCCGCCCTCAGCCAACTGTTGGGGCTGCTCAGTCCCGGGGAAGGTGGGTGGTGGGTGGTGG